GCCAATGAAGGTGCCTTAGCCCTTTTTTTTTGTTGTTTTTTTTTGTTTTTTGTTTTTTGAGATAGGGTTTCTCTGTGTAGCCCAGGCTGTCCTGGAACTCACTCTGTAGACCAGGCTGGCCTCAAACTCAGAAATCTGCCTGCCTCTGCCTCCCAAGTGCTAGGATTAAAGGCATGTACCACTACTGCCCAGCAAGAATAATCTTTTTAAAAAGGAATAAAGACACTCTTTCTAGCTCTTCTCTAAGAAGCAAGTTCAAGGCTACCAAGACAATCTTCTATCTCCATGCCAGTGTCAAAGTGCCTAAGAATCAGGGGCCACTGGGAGCTTGCTGGAACAAGGCACAGTGTGTTGTATTTGAGGCTGTCAGCCTGAGGGCACCACATCTGAAGGGATGCAGACTGATATCAGTAACAAAATGGGCAACAGGGCTAGAGGCTACTTCACACCAGTCCTAGGAAGAACAAGCACATGAAGTATCTCTGCTCTGCTCTCTAGTGAGCACATACCTACAGCAACCCTGCAAACAGGATCTGAGAGAGTTCAGTGGCAGCCCCTTGCAATGCAGCCACTGGGAGGCAGCCATCAAGGAGCACAGTGATCACAAGGCAGAGGACCAGAAGGAGGCTGACCAATTATTACAGTTCAAAGCCTCAACTGTTCACCCTTAATCCAAGGTGGACTATTAACATTACACACTTTGACATATGCTAATGTTGTTATATGACATTTTCCTCCAAATTTTAGCATTCCCTCTACAGAAGGGGAGGCTCATGAGCATTGGATGGTAAAGAAAATATCACATACAGGAGAACAGACACTCTCGAAGGTGTCTATGAAGCAGTATAAAAACAACTGCTGGGATGGAGACTCTGACCAACCACACTATGGAAAGAAAGATGTTCTGAGTATCCAGCTGCCTGCAGCCTGTTAAGAGCTCCAGGGCTGTAGTCGAAGAAGCTGTCACCCATGTCAGGGAGGGCCCACTGGGAGTGGGCTGGCCAAGAACCAGATTTGGAAACATAGGACCCAGAGCCACTGCTGCTTTGTGACTCTTGGATGTAAGTTACCTCTGAAAGAATGACATAGACACAACAAAACGGACATGTGCCACTTTAATTAGGTCAGGGATCCAGGTAGGAACCAAGCACAAACTCAGATTCAAAGATGGAGACAAAATAAAGCAACTAAGATATCTATGGCTGTATGTCCCAGACAGAGCTGCTCAACAGACAGTCACACAATATTCATCAAGGCCTACTGTGTGCTGCCTGGGCAGACACTGGGTCAGAACAAAACAACTGTCCTCAGAGATATGACAAAACAGTGGGACAGTTGAAGATGAATAACACGCATTATTTATACACAGAACATGCCAAGCAGCTAAGGACAAAAGTAAAGCCAACAGCAACAGGAAGTAATATTTTCTTAAAAACCTAAAGAAGTTTCTATAAATCCAGAGTTCCTGAGACAAAGCTGAGACTAAAGGCCGACTGACTGTTAGAACTTCAATGACATGGAGAAGGTGAGATGCTGAAGTCCAGAGCCCACATTACCACATTACCTTGGGCCATCGTTAGCCTGCTTAGCAGCCATTAACTCTACATCTCCGTTTGTGACCGAGCACCTTTGTGAACGTGAGATAAATGCGTTGGAATGTACGAACTCCTAGCTTCCACCAACCAAAAGGCTGAGAATGCTTCCCACAGCATCTGTGGCTCGAAGTTGAGATCCCCCACTTTTATGGAATCTGACTACCAGATATTTCCACCAATGTACCTGCAAAGTGACTGGAATTATGATTTCCTTTGTTGATACTGTAAAACCTCATGAAACTATTACCACGTATTTGGATTATATTTGGCTCCAGAATAAACTGCTTCTTATTCCCACTATGTTTCCTGAATTGACAGCTGAGAGATAAAAATTAAAATTGAATTTCACATTTTTTTCCAGTTATGTTCTGTCCATTTAAAACATTAGGCTCTTCATATTTCTTTTCTTCTTTCAGTTAACTAAGAACCAGAAGCCAGGGCTATATAAGAATGAACAAGACTATGGCCTATGGCCGATGGCAGGGAAGAAAGCCTGAGACAAGAAGGAAAGACCAGGGAAATACTGGGGGGTGGGGGTAGGGGATACAGGAAGGGAAAGGAATTTCTTGGGAGTCTGGTCAGCCAAGAATCAAGAATTCCAGCACAATTACCATTCCCTGTGAAGATGACAGCATCCCTTTACATACAGACGCTAAGAATGTTAAAATAGCAATGAGCTGAACACTAAGTACTATATACTGGATACTACTCCTATACTGGATATTTTCTGGGATCACAATTAAGACTATAACTTTTGTTTACAGTGAAATATCCAAACTCCTCATGCAGCCTTGGTAATCTAGGGTGTTACCCATTTAATGCACTGCAGGGCCCTTCTTAAAGATATAACTTCAAAACCCAGTGGCACCAACCCCCACTCCTGTTTTAAGTACATTAGCGTTAGACAGCCAATCTTCAGAAGTTTTCATCTTCTAACTGAAATACTATGCATACTAGATTGAAATTCTTCCCACCATTACACTACTTTCGATGGTGGAATTATACAGCATTTCTATGAATGGAATCCTAAAACAGGTGTTCTTTGGTGGCTGGCTTAGTTCACTCAGCATAACAGAATCCATTCTTTTTTTTTTTAAAGTTAAAAATTCCTTAATTTTTTATTCCTGGTACCACTACCACAATTTACAGGGCAATATACCTGATGTAATGAAAAGAACAAGACAAAGCTACAACAGATAAAAGACCTCAGGGATGTACATCTGATTGACACTACATTGCATTAATCAACAGCTGCACTTTCTGCAAACTGTGGCTCTGACCGTCCTCAACAGGAAGGCTTTCCTGTCTAAGCTGCAGTAACTTTTCTGACTATGGATCATGGTTCCTTCTGTGGCAGATTCTTTTTTTTTTTTTTTTTTTTTTTTTTTTTGAGACAGGGTTTCTCTGTGTGTAGCCCTGGCTGTCCTGGAACTCACTCTGTAGACCAGGCTAGCCTCGAACTCTTGAACTCAGAGATCCGCCTGCCTCTGCCTCCCAAGTGCTGGGATTAAAGGCGTGCGCCACCACCGCCCGGCTGTGGCAGATTCTTACAGTTCCTCTAATGCATTTGGGACAACTGTCTCAAAGTAAGCTGCAGCTTTCCTGATAACACCTCCCTCTCTCTCCTGCTGTAGCCGTTTGTTTTGTTTTAAAACCTTCTGCTACTATATCCACCACTTCCACCTCCAGATCCTCAGCCACCACCATAGGGACTGCCTACTCCTCCTCATGGGTCCATAATCTGATTGCTGCTGTCCACTATAATTTCCAAAGTCATTATAGTTGCCACCACCATAGTTACCGCCACCAAAATGCCCTCCTTCATTGTAACCATCATATCCTCCACCACCACCATATCCACCACCTTGGTTTCCACATCCCCGTCCACCACCTCCATAACCTCCTCTACTACTGTAACCAAGACCTCCACCAGAGTTGCCACCATCACCACCTCCATAACTACCTCTGCTCCACCACCTCCACCACTATAGCCTCCTCTTCCACCAAAGTTTCCTCCACGACCTCTCTGGGATCCAGCAGACTGCATCTCTTGTTTAGAAAGGACCTTTTCCATTTCACAATTATGCCCATTAATAGTGTGGTATTTCGGAACTACAGTTTTATCAACTGTGTCAGGATCATCAAAAGTTACAAAAGCAAATCCTCTCTCTTTCCCACTCTGCCTGTCTTCCACCACTTCTATGGTTTCAGTCTTGCCATACTTTTCAAAGGAGTCTCTCAGATTATGTTCTTCCGTATCCTCTTTAATACCACCAACAAAAATTTTCTTCACCGTTAAATGGGCACTGGGCTTTACAGAATCCTCTCTAGAAACAGCTCTCTTTGGTTCCACCACACATTCATCAACCTTGTGTGACCGAACACACAGTGCAGCATCCACCTCTTCAACACAAGAGCAGGTCACTCACACTCACACACACACACACACACACACACACACACACACCTCTGGAACGCTTTGTTTGGGGATCTCTCATTATCACACAGTCTGTAAGTGTGCCCCATTTCTCAAAATGTTCTCTGAAGCTATCATCGGTGGTTCCAAAGCTCAGACCACCAATAATCAGCTTCCTCAGCTGCTCTGGTTCCTTTGGATCATGGTCCTCCATTTTGAGACTGGACTTGCCTCTTCCAACTCGAGTTCAATATGGGGACATGGTCCATTCTTAGGCAAGATCTCACTATGTAGCCCTGACTGTCCTGGAACTCACTGTGCAGATAGATCAGGCTGGCCTTAAACTCAGATCTGCCTGCCTCTGCCTCCCAAGTGCTGGGATTAAAGGTGTGCGCCACTATGCCCAATAGGTTTTCCTTTTTAAATGATCTATCATTTTCTATTATATACTACACTTTCTTTCTCTCAATTTTGGTTTTTCAGAACAGGGTTTCTCTGTGTAGCCCTCTTGTCCTGAACTATAGACTAAGCTGATTTCAAAGTCACAGAGATCCACCTGCCTCTGAGTGCTGGGATCAAAGGCATACACTAATACACTTTCCTTCCTTCCTTTTTTCTTCCTTCCTTTCTTTTCTTCTTTTTTTTTTGACAATCCCATGCATATAAGCAGTGTATTATGTTTGTATTTACCCTACTGCCTCCAACATTTTGCAGCTACCTTGCTTTTCTTTTACTTTATTATCAGAGAGTGTCTGTGCATGTGTGGGGTTAGGAGTTAAGCAAACAGTTGCACACAATGTTACATTTCCCACTCTGCTTCATAAACCTGCTTGCTTGTTTCTCTCACAAGGCCCTTTCATGCTAATAAACTACCAATTACTTGGCAAATTGTAGAGCATGTATTAAGAGGGAAAAACTGTATTTGCTAAGAATTGACAGTTCTAAAGAAGTAATGTTTTCATCACTGGACAAAATACCTGAGCAACTACCTTGAAGGAGGATTCATCTGGGTTTGTGGTTTCAGAGGTTCCTGTCCTCAACAGGCTGGTTCCACGTTTCTGGGCCTGAGGTAAGGCAGAACCTCACAGTGGAAGGGCACAGTAGAACAGGGCTCTTCACCTTAGTCTCCTGAAAGGTGAGCCAGAACACAGAAGTCAGAGCAAGACACGGCCCTAACACAGGCCTATCACATGCCCCACAGTGTACTGTATCCCAATAATCTATTCAAATTGCAGATCCATCCATCAACAATTAGTCCATGATTGATCTCTGGATTCACCTTCACAGACATGCCCCAAAGTGTGCTTGCTTAATCTATACATCTTTGACAACCAAGATTAAACATTACAGTAGTATCTTACACTGAAAAAAAAAAGTCGTACATTTAACCCTCTCAGTCCTTAGTCTCAGCTAAGAAGTATTTTCCCAAGAAAGCCTCCCCTGTATCCGTCCACTTCTTCCTCCCTCCACTTCCTCCCCCTGCAACTGACTCCATTATTCATTTCCCTAGAACTTTTTCCTGTTCTATATATCGTACAGCACAATCATAGTTAATATTTAGTCTTCATGATCTATTTACTATCTCCTAACAACTTCAGAACTCTTATCAATTTGATCATTTTTGATATCTCTAAATACCAAGCACACTGCTAGTATATAGTAGGTAGTCAATAAATATCTGTTAAACAGTGGAATAAGAGTTCGATAAAGAAGCACTTGCCTAAGCCAGGCAGTGGTGGCGCACACCTTTAATCCCAGCACTTGGGAGGCAGAGGCAGGTGGATTTCTGAGTTCGAGGCCAGCCTGGTCTACAGAGTGAGTTCCAGGACAGCCAGGGCTACACAGAGAAACCCTGTCTCGGGAAAAAAAAACTAAAAGATTACACAGTCTAAAGATGTGGCAATCTTGGTTTGTGCAAATACACAGTCAGATGTTTATGTGATGACAGCACTGTATCTAACTGCTAAGCTATACAGTATTTGCTTTGCTACAAGACTCTGAAACAGATTGGCTTATAAAGGTGAGAATGATCATGTACTCTCTCTCTCTCTCTTTTTTTTTTTTTTTTGGTTTTTCGAGACAGAGTTTCTCTGTGTAGTCCTGGCTGTGTCCTGGAACTCACTCTGTAGACCAGGCTGTCCTCGAACTCAGAAATCCGCCTGCCTCTTCCTCCCAAGTGCTGGGATTAAAGGCGTGCACCACCACTGCCCTGTCACATACTCTCTTAAGAACCATTCTGAGGGGGCTGGAGAGATGACTCAGAGGTTAAGAGCATGCTCTTCCAGAGGTCCTGAGTTCAATTCCCAGCAATGACACGGTAGCTCACAACCATCTCTAATGAGATCCAAAGCTCTCTTCTGGTGTGTCTGAAGACAGTACTCATATAATTAATAAATAAATAAATAAATAAATAAATAAATAAATAAATAAAATGTTAAAAGGAAGAAAACTCCTTCAAAAAAAAGAACCATTCTGGGTATGAGCAATCACATATTCACTCACCCAGCTTGTACTCATCTGGGTACAGCATTAGGTTCTTTAAGGTAGGAGAGTTCCAAGCCTGGGGTTTCAGAGCTACAAGACCTCACAGTCTTTGGCCAAAGACAAAGCCTTGTACCTTTAAGATAAATGCCCTGTTCCTTTTCTAGGCTTTCCTTCAGCCTCCCACTTTGTGACACCTCCTTCATCCTTCCACATCCTCCTTTGACGCAGCTGTGGGTCCCTCTTATCTTTTCTCCTTTAGACACATTATTTAGCTTTTCTGACCTTCAATTTTTTTCAACCATAAAAATAAAACTTGTCGGCTGGGTGGAGGTAGCACATGCCTTTAATCCCAACAATTGGGAGGCAGAGGTCTCTGAGTTCAAGACCAGCCTGGTCTACAGAAACCCTATCTTGGGAAAGACAAAACTTGTCAGTCACGGCAGTGCATACCTGCAGTTCCAGCACTGGGGAGGCTAAAGCTGAGGGATGAGCTTGATGCCAGCCTAGACTCCATAATGACACTGTGAAATAAGGAGGAAAAAAAGAAAAAGGGTCTAAGCTACATGTTCCTCTTAGATAGGCATATGTGTTACTAGCACATGGTAATTTTATTTTACTATTCTTACCAAATCTCTAATCTAAAACTCAGGAAAAAAATTTTGTTTACTTTTATTTTTATGTGCATTTATGTTGCCTATATGTACACATGTAAAAGTGTCAGATCTTGGAGTTATAGTTATTTGCTGCCATGTAGGTGCTGGGATTTGAACCTGGGTCCTCTGGAAGAGTGGTCAGTGTCCTTAACCACTGAGCCATCTCTCCAGCCCCCTCAGAAAAAAAACTGAGCAAAAATTCTTTCCAATATAGCAAGTAGTTTTTCAGTCTGTTCTCTACAAGAAAAAGAAAATACTACTTAACCTACTAATCCGTGTACTAAAATAAAAATAAGTGATCCCAAACAAACTCTAAATGTTGGAAAGGAAAAATTAAACAAACAAGGAAGAGCTACACAGAGAAACCCTGTCTCGAAAAAAAAAAAACAAAAAAAAAGGGGGGGCTGTTTGCCCCCTTCTCTCTTGATCTCTTGCTCCTCTCTTGCCTCTCTCTGTCCCCTCACCCCTTCCCCCATGCTAACACAGGTCCAATGTAGTTTGTGGATACCCACAGCAGAGACTCTTGTTAATCACTATACTGACATAGCCTGCACCGTGTGTTGCTCAGACAGGATGCATTCAAGCAAAGAGCATGCTGCCCTGGGACCCAAATGTTAAGATCAGCCCTAAGAAGCCACTGCTTGACCATGTGAGCATCCTGGATCCCAAAGATGAGATCCTGCCACCACCCCCATCTCAGAACAAAAAGGTGGGAAGTCAGAGCCATCTGACATATCCCAGCCAGTGTCTACAGGGTCTTAGCAGCTGCATCTGGAGGCTAGCTGTTGCTCTGTAAAAACATTTAATAAAATATCGCACAAAGAGAAAAAACCAAAACAAAATTAAATACCCACCTGAGAGACAGTGCAAGGTCGTGTTTGTGTAGAAAGGAGAATGTATTTACTCTCAAATCACTATGCTAAGGGCTAATGAACTGAAGAGAAATTTATGTGTACCATGTGTTGAGTACCTGCTACATGCAGCCATTAGATAAGCCCTTGCAAGTAAAATCTTATTTCGACTTCACTACTGCCATATTTCTAAAGTTTTAACTGAAGAAACGGTCGCTGAGTGTCTGAGACATCCGCCCAAAGTTGTACCCGCTAACCGGCGCAATTAGGGTTGGAAGAGTGTCTAATCTAAGAAAATTATTTTCATGGACGTTCCAAAGTCAGTATCTTGATCGCCCTTTCGAAAACCCAGATCTTCTAACCCTCCCCAGGCAGGGGTGCCACAGGCCCGGGAGCTCCAGCCCTGGGGTAACGCCGCAGTAGCCATACACACGCGACCTAGCCCGCTCTAGGCGGCGGTGCTCCTCGCAGACCCTGAAACGCACATACATAGACCAGGCGACCTCCACGATGAGCATGCCGGGCCAGCATTCCAGTCCCGGCGCCCGAACCCTGCTTCCTTCACAGTGGGGAGCCAAGGGGAACCGGAAGTCATCAGAGTCCACGGCCTCCCATAGCGTGTCCCGCCTCACTCAGTTACTTAAATCAAATGTACCGCGCGCCTCAGCTCTAGACAGGACACTGTCCTCCTCATTACCCCTCACCAAGAGGTTGCAACATCCCTAGCCTTTACCTAGAGGACGGAGAGACCATGATCAATCAACTTCATGCTCCCGCCTCGGAATTGACGCAAGGATTGCAGCTTGGCTCCATCCAATCACAATATTTGGGGAGCACATGCGCTTTGGAGATGGGCCCCCAACATGTAGGATTGCGCCTTTAAGGTCTGAGTGACGTCAGCCTGCTTAAGTCCTTTACCTTAAATCTTCCGAAGGGAAATTCTAAGTAGTGGTTTGGGTTCCATCGGTTTTCAGAGGAACTTAATTTGCTCTGCAAAGCATATTGCTGTTATCCTAGTATTTAGGGGATGAAGGGAGGCAGCTCCAAAATACAAGGTCCCTTACGGACTAGGCTACATGACACTGCCTCAAAAAAGCAAAAATAAATGCTACAGCAGTCAAGATTATTATTACTTTTTTTTTTTTTTTTTTTTTGGTTTTTCAAGACAGGGTTTCTCTGTGTAGCCCTGGCTGTCCTGGAACTCACTCGGTAGACCAGGCTGGCCTCGAACTCAGAAATCCGCCTGCCTCTGCCTCACAAGTGCTGGGACTAAAGGCATGCGCCACCACCGCCCGGCTTTTTTTTTTTTTTTCAAGATTATTATAAACAACGATGTGATGTTACAAAGATGGGGAGGGGAGCGTCTGCTTTTTTGAAAAGGAGGTTAGAAACAGACCTACAGGTAAGTAGTCACTTTTTCTTCCAACCAGTAGCCACGTTTAACACAACTAGGAACGGACCATTCTACCAATAGTGCTAAGAAGTGCTAAGTCTAGGAACTTTCTTTTTTCTTTTTCTTCTTTCCACCGCCCCCCAACCCCCGTGTTTTCTTTGTGTAGACTTGACGGTCTTGGAATTTGCGCTTTAGACCAGGCTGACCTCCAACTCACAGACATCTGCCTACCTCTGCTTCTGCCTCCCAAGTGCTATGAGTTCAAGATTAGCATGGTCTACATAGCGAATTTCAGGACAGCCAGGGTTACAGAGAGAGACCTTGTCTCAAAATAATAATTATAGCAACAACAACACAATTAAGAGTGTGAAAAAAACAATAAAATTTGTAATACATATAGCTGGAAATAAATAGATACAAAGTTTCCTCTTTTTTTTTTTTTTTTTTTTT